ATGTGCTGCAGCTGCACGACCCCAAATGCAAGCGACGAGTGCTCATGCGGCAACGAAAAGAAGCCAATTCACCCAGTGCTTGGATGCCTTCTATGTTTTCTATCGAACGGATTATGCCTCGCTGGCAAGTCTTACTCACAACTTAAAGGCAGCGCTCGCATTCATTTGATGTTCCTACGGCTTAAAAATTAATTTCGGACGAGTTTCCCGTAGGCATCTTGCCAATAACCGCTACCGAAGATACGGCTGCATGTGTGTACTCATATATCCATGCAGCACCGCGGCCGCTTCATACCAATCCCTTCGCTTCATAATTTGCTTAGCAAATGAATCAATACGAGCGTCAGGAACGGTCGTCCATTTGTGGGCGGGCGGGCGTGGTGGGCGTTCGGGTCGGTATGTTGTAGCTTGATAGGGCCCTTATAAGGGTACCTTCCAAAGGGCGCTGCGCAGCGCCTTCTCAGGTCGCGGAATTCCGTCCTGCCAGGCGTATTAATCCTACTCGTCTTTAGGAATTTATCGTGCCAACTGCCTTTAAAGGCACATAGCGCAGCCGCAGGCTGTGGGGTTCAAATATGAATTTCTAGGTTGCAATAAACTCACTACTACGAAAGAAAAAACAGGAGAGTCTATCAGAAAGGCTCCAACTGAGACTCGGCTTTCAAGCATTACTCATTGTTCACTTTCTAGTATTAACCATATTTACGACAAAGGTAGCTTCCGCGGCGTTAGCGGTGGCGGGCAATATTGGCTACCATCTCACAAAACATTTAGCTGAGCTACAACGATTCTGAATTTCTAATATGTCAAGTTTTTCTGCTCAAATGTCGCTCGTAGGTTTTTCGTCAATTTCAAACGATTTTTCAAGACAGGACCGAGACCTGGGCGTCCTGATAGAAAGTGTACAACGCACAGTCGTACAAGCAATGAAGGAGCTTCTCTTAAGCCTTCCTATGTGACTTCCAGCGCGTTTCTTGAAATGGAATCTAGTGGCTGCTCGCAGACGTGAAAAAATACTTCAACCTCTTTTTTGAGGGTATGCTGCTGAAGTGCAATACACGTGATTCAAATCGTACCTTTGCTCCTGGACTGAACGGCTTCATGAACTGGCAAATCACCACGATAGTTCTGAATCTCACCGATTAGGTTGTGAATCTCGAAAGCGCGTTTGTACTGCTTAAGCAATTTGAGCATTCGCATTTGACCCTTGGCGGCGGCACAATGCGAGGGTGTGCGTAGACGATTGTCCTGCAGCATACGACCAATTCGTAAGTATTTTCTCATGAAACCAATTGGTCCAAACAATGAGTGTAAATGGTGAATGAACGTTGAAATTCACTTAGTCTCCACTTGGGCCCTTACTGTTATCTTGTACCAGAAGATGGCAGAATGTACCTGGTGATTCGGGTTAGCACCGTGATCCAGAAGATGTTTTGCAGCTTCGTAGTGACCGTAGGTGACGGCATAAAATAGCGCCGAATGTCCAGCACGATCTCGTTGGTCAATAGAAGCATGAGGCGCAGTTTCCATGAAGAAGTCGATCGTCTGCAATATATTTTATTTGGTTACACCAGTTTGGCTGACGCGCATTACTGCGCGAAAACCTATGGTACTGAACAATGGTAGAATTTTTGTGGTGGCCCCTAAAACTTCGCCTTTTCCCATGCTTCAAAACACGGCAAATTTCATCATAATTCTCCTCTTTAATGAACATTTTCCAAAGTATGGTGCTTATCACAACACTCACCATTCGTTGGAAATGAGACAACTAAGCGGTTGAAAGAGTTTCAATGGTAACAATATCGAAATCATAGTGAAGTGTTCTAACATCCTAATTCTTCCGTGAGCAGCTTTCACATATCGGTCTATTGGCGACTCTTATCATTCCTCACTGGCAAACAATTTTAGGCTTTTACTTCTGGGTGGTACTCGAAAGTTTAGCGGTCGGATCAATTCCGACTACATCTCAAGGGATAGGAACATCTCGGCTCACTAAGGTTTTGCCCATTAATTCTTGGGCAACGGTGGTCAAGTTCAGTCGCAGGCATAGTAAAGATGCAGTAACCCGTTGTTGCTCCGACTCTTGCATTTCAAGGCTTCTGGGGGCGAGCGGGCCCCTATGGTACTGTTCTGGCTTTGTCAGGTCGCTTACCACCATTAATGTGTATCCTGCCCCATATATTACTTCTTGAAAACAACGTTCTACCGCTGCTGTGACGCGCGTTATGATGTTGCTGAACTTCCCTTTCTAAGGCTCCTTATGGTATCTTATCGGCTGTTATCACTTCCTGCCACCCACAAAATGTCCCCATCCTGCCCTCTACCTTACTTTTTAGAACCAACGTTCTACCGCTGCTGTGACGCGCGTTATGATGTTGCTGAACTTCCCTTTCTAAGGCTCTTTATGGTATTATTATCGGCTGTTATCACTTCCTGCCACCCACCAAAAATGTCCCCATCCTGCCCTCCACCTTACTTTTTAGAACCAACGTTCTACCGCTGCTGTGACGCGCTTGTGATGTGTGTCCCTTACCCCTTTCTTAAGGCTCCTTATGGTATCTTATCGGCTGTTATCACTTCCTGCCACCCACCAAAAATGTCCCCATCCTGCCCTCTACCTTACTTTTTAGAACCAACGTTCTACCGCTGCTGTGACGCGCGTTATGATGTTGCTGAACTTCCCTTTCTAAGGCTCCTTATGGTATCTTATCGGCTGTTATCACTTCCTGCCACCCACCAAAATGTCCCCATCCTGCCCTCTATCTTACTTCTTGGAGCCAACGCTCTACCGCTGCTGCGACGTGCGCTGTGAATTTGGTGACCCTTACTTTAAGGCTCCTTATGGTATCTTATCAACTGTTATCACTCCCTGCCACCGACCAATAATGTTCGTGCACGACCCCCTACATTACTTATCAGTTTGAGGGCTCTATCGCTCTTTTGAAGGAAGTTATGAATTTCCGGTCAAACACAA